GAGGGCCCTGCCCGCTCCTGCCCAGCCCCTGCAAACACCCCCCCTCTCTCACACACCTTCCAATCCTCCACTTGAGGCTCCCTGTTGGTCCGGCTCATTCCCCACAGTGCCAGGTTTGCCGCTAAGTCCCCTCTCCGTTTTAGACACTTTCCATCTCTCCTCTCTCACCTTAGAACCCTCCAATTGAGGGCCCCCATCCCGCTCCTGCCCAGCCCCTGCAAACACCCCCCCCCCCCCCAAGGGATCTGTTATGTGGTTATTACAACAGGCCCCCGCCATCCGTCCCCCGGCCACCTATTACTTATCGTCAAGCCGCTACCTTTTTGGCCTAAGTCATTTTTGCCAGTTTTGAGATAATCAATAAAAACTGTCTAAGTCGCAAGAAAACACACTTTGGCAAACAAAACTTTCCTCAACGAGTGAGGGTTCAGTGCTGGTGAAGTTTATATAATTTTTAAAAATGAAAATGTGAAATTATGGGATATATAGGACTTAGGCCATTTCGAGACCACGCTCTTAGACTTAGGCCAAAATGCGAAATGACTTAGGCCAAAACGGCCCCCGAGTTTTTACCGTCAACGGTGACTTAGGCCAAAATGTGGATCAATTTAGATCTATATTTATGTATATTATTATTGTTACGTTGAGTTATCCATGCCATATTTCTTCAGAAGAAGCTTTGAGCTGATCAAAAGCTTGTTAAAATTTGTAAAGTCCGTGCCGGCTTTAAACACACCGGCATAAAACACGCTAAACAGCTCATACCGAATTTTTTGGATATTATTACACGCCTTTAAGCACAGTAACTTCGGCTTCAGGCACGCTTCATTTACAAGACAGTCAATACTTTCACGATGACCCATCGAAGTTCAAACACAGTCTACACGGCAGCAGTGAATGTGTTGAGAAACACAAAGAACGCTAATGATGGAGACACACATTCACACACACAAATGACGCGTGCGGAGAGGAAGACAGAGTTGCACACAGCCACGCGCGTGGACATAGGATCTAGATCTAGCATAGGGCAAAGCTTCACAGACTAAAAAAAAAATACAAAGAGAGTCCGGGAGACGAGAACTCAGAAAAGGAGGCTGGCTGCGATTTCACCTATTGCCCCTCGCTATCCGATAACGAGATAACCCTGATTATGTATCACGCGCCAGGTGGGATGAAGGCTGTGGTATGAATGTGGCACAGCGGGCAGTGGTACGCACAGGCAGTGTGTAGGGTAGGCCTAGTGTGCTGTATCGTGACTGGCCGTCTAAATCAAGTTTTCATTTCCCATTCGACCACAAAACAAAAACAAACCAAACAAACAAACAAAAACGACCATGGCGGGTAAAAATAACAGCACAAACTTTTGTGCGACCACTACTTACAAACAAAGAGAAATAGCACAAGGAATTTTCAACACGAAAATCTCTGGATTATAATTATATCTACTTCGCACTCAAGCACGCTTCGGCATTAGGCACGCTTCTAAATGATTTCTCACGATGACCGTGCTTAAAGCCGGCAAGGACTGTATAACATTGGTAGTCAAAGTTCAGGAATGATCAACACCTGGACACATCAATGTAGAGTCTACATTGAAGTATAGAGATACGTCTGTGCAGAAAGAACAATACGATTTACTAACACTAACAGCCAACAGCACGAGTTCAGTTGCTAAATAAAGGACATGGACACGATAACGGTCATTTAGTGCAAAGAAACAGCAAGACGACAGACAGATAAAACAATGAAAGAACAGAAGTAGAGTCTACCGCGCAGTAGCACCCTCCAACAACCTGCAAAACAGCAAGACGACAGACAGATATATTAAGTGTTAGGTCAGAAGTAGAACCTACCAGTAGCACCCACCAACCAAACAGCAAGATGACAGACAGATATTTAGTGTTAGATTAGAAGTAGAACCTACCAGTAGCACCCACCAACCAAACAGCAAGATGACAGACAGATAAAACATAATATTAGGAAAGAAGAACCTATCAGCAGCTGTAGTACTCAGCAACCTCCCCCACACAAGTACATTGTGTACATCTAGATCTACATGTTAAGGTACGTATTTCTCTACTATGGTAAAAAGAATAACACAAAATGCAAGAGTAAAGTAAAAAAGGACTCCAAAAATATCTTTTATTATACATGAAGAATTTAAGCACAGAGTACAATAATTTGCACACAGTGTCAGGTACAAAGAAGCAAAGAATCAACATACATCATAAAATGCATTATCTCACAAGGTGAGCAGGGCCTCAAGAAATGTTTTGCGACAGCTGCCAATGATCACTGATGTGACCAACAATAATTAGGATAATAGTACCAGTAATAGACAAAGAGATAAAATTACTTTTCCTGACAGGGTAAATTGTTTTACGATGTCAAACATTTCACATTACATTCATGACACAACAAATACAATAATATTTTTTTTAAAGACAGCCATTCATAAACATGACAATCATTCATAGGTATTATCGTGTCGATGTGCTTTCTTTATTAACTCAACTCAACGACAATTCAAACAAACTGAAATATTTGGGAGTTTTCTGTAAGCGCAAAGACCAGTGTGCTCAATGAAAACCAAAATGTTAAAATGCTCGTGGAAAATTAACCAAATAGGAAATAAGTATAACAATATATCTATGGAAGAGAACCAAGAAACCCCACAGGCGGTGCTACTGACTGAAGTGTCTTTAGGCCATTCTCAAAGGGGGGACATTAATCTGTTCTTATGCACAGATGAATTGTAAATGGACTGATTCATCAATGTCAAGCTCATAAGTGTGCCTGAACTGCAACAGGGAACTGCTGCTTTTTCTTTCCTAATCCTTACTACCGTCATTTTCCTCTACTTCTTTTGTATGTTTGTCACACTCTTGCGACCCGCTATTTCCGGGGTGCCATGATAGTCGAAGCAAACTTAGTGCTGTTGAAGCTAGAGAGTAAGGCTGATTCCCTGTAAGGACTTCTCTGTTGACATCTACCCCTTGGCACTCACTAATGACTTTATGCATTTGCTAGCGCTGTAAAACCTCTACTAAAACAAGAGAAACAAGATAAGCATGGTCATAAACAAATTACAAAAACAATCGGGCATGCTTTGCCACACTGCGTCTCCAGGTGTGAGGGGCTGGTTTCCTTTTACCGCGGTTTGAAGGGAGAGGGTCATCTAAAGAAAAATAGAAAGATAAAGAAAAATAAGCTCATGTGTAGCAATGTAGTTGAATTGATAAGGAAAACACTGACATAATAACAGTCATTCAGCGCCAGGAAACAGCAAGACGACAGATAAAACAGAATCTTAGGAGAGAAGTAGAAGCTACCAGTGCTACCTGCTAACCACTTGTAGTGTAGCAAAGTAATTCATCTATAGAACTTACATTAGAACAGTTAAAGTAAATACGCTGCGGGAAAAACGTGTGGCATTTCTGTCATTATTAATAGGTTATCGAATACGTAACATCAATTAAGATTTAAAGAAAAGAAACATTTATCTGACCATGTTGAGAGTAGATGAAATAATTGCTTGTTGGTCATATGTGTTTAAAAACAGCACACAAAGC